GGGAAAGAGTAGCACAATGCATTCCAAGCAAGAAGAGTGATGCAGAGCACATGGAGTTTTGGAGCTTGACGAAAAGATCCAAAACGTGAGTCAAAAACCCAAACATTGCCCATCACAAACCATATGGCGAAGAAAAGTTCAAGTGAAGTCCGGCATTTATTCATCAAGTGTGACATCCTGTACACACTGTACAGTTCAGGGCAAATTAAAATTACAATTTCTACTTTCACCCACAAAAATTTGCATGGCTCGGTAAAAAAATATTGTTCTCTAACTAAGCTGGAGTATATGACTATGAAAACAGCTGATGTTAACACTTCTATATTAGGTCTTTAATTTTTCACATGATTTATATTCTTAACTATATATGAAAGAATGCAATAAACAGAAGAATCTACACTTTCAAAAGTAAGTGCCACGAACTGATCGCAGTGAAAAAGGTACGTGTCTACGTGAGGGTATTTGATTCTTTCAAATTCCAAGATCTTTTTAAAGGGATAAATTAAATTACGACAACTTTGTGATTACTTTACATTTGGTATTCTCCTACTTTAACAATCCAACAGGTTTTGTCCAAGTATCATAACTAATTCTAGGAGAACAAAAAATGTTCTTTTTATATGACAGTTATATTCATCCAACAAAACAAAGGTATCAAACTTCCCTAACCAAGTTTAAAGCACAATCGCGCTATCAGTACACTATAATAATATTGTCAACAAGTACAATTACCCATCACTAATAATAAAACTGACTAAAATAAGTTATTGAAATTTGAAGTACATAGAGTACCTGGTTTCTTCATTGTTTCTCTGCTGTTCCATATCAGAAAGGTTGAGAGCATCCCCTTGAGTGGGATAAATTTGATGGTAGCGCCCATAAAGTAGCAGCAGATTAAGAACACAGCCAATATCATAACCAGAAATCCAAATCCTCATAGGCCAAACAGGTCTCTCCCTCTTGGAAATAGTCAAAGTGAATGTTGTAATGGTTATTTGGACAACCAAGGCAATAAACTCCAGCATCATCCAAGTGCTAGAATTGAAAGGGTTGGAGCCAAGGTTGGACCTTGATCCATTTTGGTAATGAAAAACTCTCCTTAAAAAGGTAAACCATCTTGCTCTAGATATTCTCATGGCCATACGAACCAAAAAGGAAGGAGGGGTGGCACGAGAAGGCCTGTTTCTTGCACTAGCCACCCTATCTTCTGTTGCAGAATTTGAAGAAAATGAAACCATGCTATACTCTTGAGGTTGTGGATGAAGGAAGCACCGAGGATTCATCGGAAATGTTCTTTTTTGCCTATGTATGTTGAGAATTTGTCCAAAACGTGTATCAGAGACCAAGCAATTGAATCCAACAACAGTGTTTCTTAAAGGCAAAGGCTTACACCCAAAGAACTTGAAATTGAAGCATTCCAATTGGAAACTTTGATGGATGGAACTATTACCTTGATTGGAAGATCTTTTCTGGGTCTGCACCAGCTTACACTCCTAACAACATAATCAGACAAATATCACAAAAAGATTCAATAACACAAACCTTTCAACAACCACATAGTACATATAAAGGTTAGGGGGAGATAAAAATATGAAGGAGTTGATGAAGTGTATATAGAAGAGGAGGGGATGATTGGTGTGAAGGATATGTCAGGAGGGTGAGGTTGTGTTTCAGAGGGTGACCAAGAATCAAACTGCTAAGCTTTGCTTTGATGCAAAGGGAATCACAAGGTTTGGAGGGAAGTTAACCGTTGGCCAACTTCCTCTATATATGAAGCCAAGCTCACAAAACAATTGGAGTCCAATTTCCCTTCTTTTCTCTCCCTTTCTTTAATGATAAAATATACTTTGGTCCTTATCTCATTTTTCTTGTTTTCAAGTTTATTAAATTTTAAAAAGTTTCATTTTTCTTTTAGTTTTTATTAGATTCAAATGAAGTTATGTCATACTATCATAATCTGTCTAGCAGTAAAATTAAAATAGTTAAGCGGTACGAACTGTTTTAACTTTGCTACAACTATTATAAAAAATAAAATTTTTGATAAATTAAACATCATGTGACATCTCTTCTTGTTTCGTATATGTTATCGAATTGACCAAAGATAAATTAGTATAAAAATTTAACTTAAGAAACTAAATTGAAATACAAAATAATAAAACTAGGGATTCTATTATAACATTGTTTGATTCTCTTATTAAAGAATTTAGGACAAACGAAATGTTTTTTTTTTTTTTTTGGGTGAAAATAAAGTGAAGTCTATCTCTGTTTGAATTCAAGTGGATAAGACTTAAATGTTATTATATGATACATACGTCGGCTAAGTGATTGCATTTGTTTGTATTATGGCCAACAAAATTGCAATGTTTATATGATAAATAAACCATAAAACTGATTTGAATTGTGGCGGGTACAGTTGATATTTTGGGATTATGTGGTAAACGGTTGGCCACCTAATCCAACCAATTAGAGTAGTGTGGCCCTCCTCGTGTCTAGGAATAATTGCTATATGATTTACGTATTAGCCACACAACTCCAAGAGTTTTTTTTTTAACATATGGTGGTTTGTTCTAATTGAAGAAAACTCTTTGAAGTTCTGTTAATTAACAGAGAGATTAATTGAATAGCCTCTTAGGTGGCCTCACCTATAGTTTTTTTTAATATGAAAGTAAGATGGAACTACTTGTTTTGCAAGGAGGATTGAAAGTAGAGTTGCACGAAAACTAGTGACTAAATTTATCTATACTTTATAGTCTTTGTCAAAAAAATGTTTGGCAAACAGAATATCAGTTGCGATTATTTCCTTAGTCATAAGTTTGACTCTTAATTCTGTTAATAAGTGATGTTGTAGTAGCAAAATTAACTTGTGGGATCGGGCAAGCTGCATAGGTCAACGTCCTCTAATTAATGTAGGAGAAAGTAGGCCTAGCACAAGTAACTAGTAAGAACAGATTTTGACCATTTTGCTAAGCAATTATTGGAAACTAGAAATAGATATATGGATTGAACATCTAAAAAAATGTTTTTTTTTAATTTATTTTTTATTTCTTCATATGGGGTGCATACATGCACTTGATGTTGAGCTAACTAGGTATTGTTTGATAATTTTTTTTACAAGTATTTATAGGAAAACAAATTAGAGAGAAAGTTAATTTAGCTGTTTTCCATAAACTAAATTAAAATTAACTAATAGGATAACTTCGATTTATTTAACCTTTTAAGAAAAATACACCAAAGGTGTTTATGAAATAACTTATCTAAACAATACTAATTTAGTCTTCATTTATTTTAATCACTCAAATAACATACACCAAAGAGCTTAAAATTGATTTATACTAAAAAAAATAATTCAAACAAAAGTGTTAAGACTTATTTAAGGTGATTGCCAATTTTTAATTTTTAATTTTAAGCATAAATTAGTTAAATTAATTTTAACTTAATTTCAAAATGTTTTTAGTTCAATTTTATATAAAAAAAGCTTTTGATTCTAGTTATAAAAATAAATTATTTAATTATCATATTTATCTAAAAGATCCATATTCCACGATAATTTCTACCATCGCTCCTACCTACTACTATTATCAATTATCACTTTTTAATTATCATTATTATCATAATTATCATCCACCTTTATGGTAGTTATTATTGTCACTAATACTTACATTTTTAGTATTACTGTCAAATGGGCAACTTGACCTGTGTTGGCCAAGTGTGAGAAACAAAATGGCCTCCTCCATCTTGACTATTACATAGACCAAATTTTATTTTGCCCAACCTAATCAGTAAATTGTTGGGCTAAACCAAATTGAGTCACTTTATTTTTTTTAATTAATGATTTTACATGTATTTTTTTATAAAAAGAAACTGGACAAAATAGATTATATCTTTTAATCTAATTTTAACTAGTCTGACTTGGTTTGATTGATTCATCAAAATGGATTGATTCGACTTGATAAGCCAAATTGATGGGTCCAACCAAATTTGACAACTCTATTTATTATTACGTTTATCACCACTACTTCAAATATCACAACAACTAGTAATTTTCATTGTTACCATATTGTCGTTAACATATATCAACACGACATTGATAAATTTGAAACCTTGAGTTAGTGAAGACAATTTTTTTAAAAACAATAACAACAACAATAATATATAAGAAGAACAAAAAAATAAATGTTAAAATAGTCGATAATTGACTCAATATATAAAATTAAGGTATAAAATATAAATTTTTACACATATACTACTAATTAAAGTGAAAGGTATATTTCTTTACCCTTAAATTAATATAATTTTGTTACTAAACATAATTATCGCAATCATTAATATTATAATTACCACTATAATTGTAAAAGTCACTATTTTGTAATTGTAATTATTATCGTCTCACCTTAATAAATAAGCTTGAATTAAGAATTAGGAAGTGATTTATATGATTTGATTTAAAATTTTATATAAAAAAATAAAAAGACTAAAAGTTAACTTTTTTCTTTAAAAAAATTTCAAATTTTAATACTCACAATAATATTGAATCGAGCCTATGTTGGCCAGATAAGCGTTGATTAAACCACTAAAATATCAATGTTGTAGCGCATAGGCATGATAATCTAATCCGCTCGAATCCGCCCCGATTGAAACAATGAAAACTTGTGTTTATTATATTCGAGTTCTTGTTTTCTCCGATTGATAAACCCGTCCTGCCTCGTCCCATTCCCATGCCTAGTAGCGCACGCCTTGACACTTAAAGAAAAATTAACATATATAGCGGAAAATTAATTAAAAGGAAAGAAAACATAGAATTGTCGACGGAAACAATGAATTATACCTAATTTTTATTTGGTTGTAAATCAAACGTGGGAAAGCCTAAATTAGAGGCCTTCGAATTGACGGCTGAAGGTCAAATTCATGCGTTGTTAATTCACGAATGGAGCAAAGTGTACAAATTTCAAATACACATTTTACATTACCCTTACTTTTGAATAGACTAGTCAGTCACCACATAGAAATCAATATTAACATGTAAAATTGATAATAGAAAAAAGTTGCACGAAGCTTAAAATAAACATAATTCATATAATCATATAATTAGGGGCCTCACTTCTTACTAATATGCATACTGAGGAGTAACTACATGAAAGGAAATGAGATAGGGAATATATGCGAAATGTGTGATGAATTGCTTGAATGACTAAAATTGGAGCATGTGTTAAGCATTAATTAAGAATTGCCAAGTGGCCATATTCTTAAGAAAAGAGATAATTAACGAATAAAACACGTCGTTTAAGCTTGTTACAGACGTATTAGAGTCAAATTTGACCCCAATTTGGGCGGTGAGACATGCAACGTGTTAATATTGACGTATTTTGTAAAGGAAAAAGAAATGCAGTCACTTTCGGAAATGGGAACATATCTTCTTTCTGTATAAAAAACCTTCAAACGTTAAGCAAAAAGTTTATTACGTTAAGTATAAATAATTATCTTAAATATCATATAAATAATCATTTTTAATTAATTAATAATGGTGCATGACCATTAAAAAATACAAATGAGTTCCTCCAAATTTCACATTCTGTCTTTTTAATTGTCCTTGTCTTATAAGTTGCGAATCACAAGGAGGATTTATTAATTAATTTAAAACCATCAAATATTTACAGTCCAACTAATTTTTATATGTCTCGTGTTTAAGGTTTTTAATTTATGAAAAAATAATGATCAATAACATTTAATTCTTTAATTATATATTAGGTTGAAATTAATTAAAAAAATATGATTTAGGACCACTTAATAAATAATGGCTGACCGACTTAAAATTCACAAAACTTCTAGATAGAATAGACGAAAACATTTTTTTAATCGTGTACGTTTTGAATTTAATATTTCCATAATAATTCATTAGAAACTGTTTGACCAACATATGCATGGTAGGGTTCTCATCCAATCACACACTCTCGTTTTACCTGTAAATTACATAGTAACTAAAACTTGCATGAGTGGTTAGGTTAGATTTGTACGCGCAAACAAATGAATGTTCAAAATAATTATGTAAAAGTCGGATACATGCACCTTCTAATTTCAAGTAATTATATTATATAGACATGAATTTATTTTCTCTTGCCAAGTGTATCATCGTCAAACAGTAAAAAATTGTTGTTAGTTAGTAAAGAAGGTATGGATTTATGTCCTAAGAAGTTATTTTATGATATTTATTTGAAAAAATATTTATATCAAGAGAGAAGAGTTGTAATTTTGTTATTTTTTTAATTAATTTTGTTTTTTTTTTATTTTATGAATGTAAATCTTGTTTGTATCCTAATAAAATGAAGTTAAGATCATGCAAACACATTTGCTCTTGGTTTTCTTTGGAAAAATTCTTTGCTTTTGAAAGTTCTATGATGTTGTCTCATAGTTAGGAGGTGTACCATTTAACTTCATTGCATTGTTCGTCACATTTCACCTAAGAGTGACATATGTGTTTAGGAGTAGCAAAGAAGGTTGTTTTGCCAAGGGAGGAAGTTCTGCCATTAGCTTCAATTCTTATTCAATGTGACACTTTTGGTGAGATGGAACAAGATGATCTTCACGATGATGTTTAAGTTATCAAAATAATTCAGAAATAACTTGGAGCAGAAATTTCTGCCTAAAACATCAAAACAGTACGATAGAAAGGAGTTGGGTTTTTTTGTTCTCAAGGAAACTTGGTGGGTCTACTCTGGCTAGGGGATGTACATACACATATCTACGTGTGTCAGTGTGTGATTAAGTTCTTGACAGATATGTTTTAGACTTCTCACTCCCAAGTATTTCTTGTGCTATGTTCCTTCAAGATAATACAGCCACTGCCGCTGCCACAATCAATACTTTATATACGTTCGTTCGTGTGCAGACAATACTCACTGTATCCTACTACTATGTTATCCTTTCTTTATGTCGATAAGTTGATTCTTTGATAGAATTCCTTATTCCAGAAAGAGAAAAAACAATTTACTCCTTATAAGTTTTATTTTTTATTTTTTATTTTTTATTTAATCCTCACTATTTGCTACATTTATTTCATCATTTACTAGAGTTACAAAGTCAAACCTATTCACTAATTTAGTTACAACAAATTAACCAGTTCAGTGTACAAATCTATTCATTAATAGTGTATTGAAATGAACCTCTTTCTATGTAGAAATTAACTTTAAAATAGTTGTTCCATACGTTTTAGCAGTAAACATGTGATTCAACAAAAATTCTGTACTTTTATATATATATATATATATATATATATATTTTTTATTATTTTATTTTATTTTTTTTCTTAGGCATATTGAAGAAGTATGAATGCTTAGACTTTATGCCTAATAGTAGATCTTAATACATCCAACAATCTCCATTCTCCACAAACGAGATGAGGTTGTTAATTAATCCTTAGATCAATAGAGTGCTGTTACTTGTAACCAAATCATAATGACAATAATAATTCTTTTGATTAGATCAATTGTTAAAATTGAGGACTTGCAACGAGACTATGTGGATTTCTCCCAAAACCCACTTCAGTACAGCGAGTTTTCCATTGGAAAAAAAAAAAAGAAAAAAGAGGAGTAACTAAAGTCCATCTCAATGGCTAAAAACAAGAAAATTGCAGGAAATTTTATGCCAAACAAACTTGCAAGTGGTTTATTTTATTTCATATCCTCTGCTATAAAGAATAAGAAAAATTCTCTCAGAAGTACAATACAGGACTAAATATACGGCACTATTACACCTATTGAACACTGGTACCAAGTGAAAATATGTGTGACCCCTGAATGGAGGAAGAAGAAGAGGAAAACAAAGTCCTATGTCCTATCGAGTCAATCACAATAAACAAATGACATAGATAAAAAATAGTAATTACAAACAAATGACGTGCCTAGAGACAAGCTCCGCTTAATGCAAAGAACAATGTACTAGAAGATACGACTACAAATATATACAATCATAGACACAAATAGAGGCCTAATCTGCTTTCTGCTTTGCCTTGTCATCAGGTTCACCCAAAACAAATTCAACATATAAATCCTTCAGAGCCATCATGACCGTAGTTATCAGTGGCCCCATAATAGCCCCCTGCAGGACAACAGATTCCTTCAGCAATGCCATGGAATACAAGAGAAGTGCATCTATACAAGTTCACTTATAAACTGAACCACACTTGAGCTACTACTCCAATTCATTGGATCCCACGTGGTCACACACAGAATTTACAAAAGCAGGCAACAATTTCAAATCAATGCATGCTTAACAATCTAAATTTTAGAATATATATAGGTTGGAACTTTCATGTTAATCTAAAAAATGACAATGAGCCTATTTTGATATAAACTTAGAAGTGCTTTTGAGAGTTTCTGTTAATGCAGTAAAACTTTTCATTTAGTTTTTACTGCTATAATTAATTATGGTTGCTTGTATTAGTGGGTAAAGTTCTGCAGTAATTATGTTTGCTTAGTGCAGTAGATAATATCTTGTTAGGTATCTGATTTTAGGCAAATCTACACACTTAATAATAGTGGGAAAATGTGTTTTACTGACAGCATTTATGAGCTCTATGTATGGCTGTCATTTTTTCATATATTTGCCTTATATATGAATGAAAAACAAGCAGAATGGTATGGTTGTTCAGCAAATACGAAATTGCTCTGTTCCCTAACCTTTCCTCTTTTCTGTTTTATGATTTGTATAGTTTTTATGTTTTATGCTTCCGCTGCCCATTGCTTGTCTTAACAGTGGTATCCAGAGCATTGTTCTTATAGGCTGTGGGTCTGAAAAAAATTGAGAGGAGAGATTAAACACTTGTGAGTGAGTGATAAAATGGCTTCGGGGAATAATGGTGTATTTGCTGTTCCTCAATTTTCTGGGGAAAACTATCACATATGGATTGTCAAAATGAGATCATGTTTGAAGTCTTTTGGCTTATGGGAGTATGTAGATCAAGATAAGGAAGTTCCACCATTGAGGGCTAATCCTACAATAGCTCAAATGAAGCAACATGAGGAGGAGACTTTGAAGAAGGAAAAAGCTGTCTCATGTTTACATTCAGCTTTGACAGATGATGTTTTTACAAGCATTATGCATTTGGAAACAGCAAAACAAATATGGGACGAGTTGAACGAAAGGTATGCCGGTGATGAACGGGTGAGATCCATCAAACTATTGACTCTTAAAAGAGAGTTTGAAATGCTGAAAATGAAGGAAAGTGAATCAGTCAAGGAGTACACTTCAAAGCTGTCTCACTTGGTGAACCAAATGAGATTGTATGGAGAGGTGGTCCATGACCACAAGGTAGTCGAAAAAATGTTGATCAGTCTACCCGTAAAATTTGAAGCCAAAGTTGCTGCCATTGAAGAGTCATGTGATCTTAAGAAACTAACCATTTCCGAAATGGTCAGTAAATTGCAAGCTCATGAGCAAAGATTCTCCATGAGAATGGATGATGTAACTGAAGGTGCATTTCAAGCAAGACACAAGGGAAAGCAAGCTGGTCAGAAAAATCAAAAGAAGCAAAATTATAAAACAGCTGGTGACCAAAAGGGGAAAACCAAGATGGATGGGAGTAGTGAATCGGCAGAAAACAATCATTTTCCTCCTTGTTCTACATGCAAAAGAAAAAATCACTTGTCGAAAGATTGTTGGTATAAGGGGAAGCCTCAAATCCAATGTAACATTTGGAAGAAGTGGGGACATAGAGAAAGGTACTGCATATCCAGGCAGAACCAATCTCAACCACAACATGCACATCAAGTTAACTTCACCGATCAGCAACTCCAAGATGAAGAACACTTGTTTATGGCTGCTCAAACAAGTAGTTCAGGTTCAAATGATGTATGGTATGTTGATAGTGGGTGCACAAACCACATGGCGAGGGACTCAAGTCTTTTTACTACTTTGGATAGGGCTGTCCAAACCAAAGTTAAGCTTGGAAATGGAGATATTGTACAAGCTGAAGGAAGAGGTACAGTTTCTGTTCACACTAGCAAAGGTCCTAAATTTATTCATGATGTTTTATTTATTCCTGATTTGGATCAGAATTTGCTAAGTGTTGCTCAACTAATGAAGAGAGGATATTCTCTTTCATTTAAAAACAATGGTTGTATCATATTGGATTCAAATGATTCTGAAGTTATTAAGGTTGAAATGTGTGATAATAGCTTTCCAATCAGTTTGAATCAAGTGAATGAATCAGCTCTTGTTTCCAAACATGATGATTCTGTTTTATGGCACAAAAGATATGGTCACTTTAATATGGGTGCTTTGAAATTTTTGCAAACTCATGATATGGTGAGAGACATGCCTATGATGGGTATTATTGATGATTTATGTGATGCTTGTCAATTGGGAAAAATGCATAGAAAGTCTTTTTCATCAACAAATGTCACACGAGCAAAGGAAAAATTGGAGCTTATTCACACTGATTTGTGTGGTCCAATGAGTGTTCCTTCTCTTAGCCAAAGCAAATATTTTCTTCTGTTTATTGATGATTTGACAAGAATGACATGGGTGTATTTTTTATCAAGCAAAGCTCAAACTTTTGATGTCTTTAAAAAGTTTAGAGCCATGGTGGAGTCTCAAAGTGGCTGCAAAATTAAAATGTTGAGATCCGACAATGGGAAGGAGTATACATCTAATGAGTTTAATGCATTTTGTGAAGATATGGGCATTGTTCATCAATTGACAGTAAGTTATACTCCTGAACAAAATGGAGTTTCTGAGAGAAAAAATAGAACAGTTATGGAGATGGCAAGATGTTTAATTGCTGAAAAGAAATTGCCAAAATGTTTTTGGGCTGAAGCTGTTTATACAGCCGTGTATCTTTTGAATAGGCTGCCAACAAGAGCTGTTCAAGAGAAAACACCAATTGAAGCTTGGAATGGAGTGAAGCCCACTGCCAAACACCTGAAGATTTTTGGATCTATTTGTTATACTCATGTTGCAGCAGCAAAAAGATCCAAATTAGATGACAAAGCTGAAATGGGGATTTTCTTAGGCTATGCTGCAAACTCCAAAGGTTACCGGGTGTACAATATGAGGTCAAAACAGATTGTGATCAGCAGGGATATTCAAATTGATGAGAATGCATACTGGAATTGGGAAAATAATGAAGTTCAAAGGAGCACAAAAACAGAACAGTTGACAACCAATTTCGACCAGGAGCAAGCTGCAAATGAGAATAAAAATCAGATTGCTGAATCTATTCTCCTGTGCTAAAATCCAAGTTTTTGGCTGAAATTTATGAAAAATGCAATTTTGTTGTGAGTCTTCTTGTTTTGAAGAGGCTTCAATGCATGAAGAATGGAAAGGGAGTCGGATCTCGGATCGAGATTGGTGATTTCCATGTGGGTGGCATGAGCCACGGTGGGGGGATCCTTCTTGCTTTGCTCGCCGGACGAGGATATCTTGAGACTCTCGGCGTAGCACTGTCCAGCTGCCTTCTGATTTGCTTTGACGGAGATGATCTTACCGTCGCTTCCTGGGAACTTCATGGTGAGGTGTGGAGTGGACACTACTGCTCCAAGCTGATTCAATGTCGGCCTCCCAATGATGATGTTATAGGAGGTGTTGGCTTCCACCAAGAGATATCGGACCATAATTCCCCTTGTGTCCGGAGAGGTTCCGAAGGTGGTCAGCAGGTCCACGTATCCCCGAGTGTGTACTCGCTCTCCTGCAAAACCGACTAGGGGCTCTGTGTGAGGTTGGATGAGGAGACCTCTCCAGGTATTGGGGCAAAGGAATTAGATTCAGATAGCCTACAGATCAACCAATTTTAATACAATTTTTATGGATTTATACTTGATTTTGTTGGGTATTTATTGTTCCTAATATTGGTATTCTAGCTGTATGTTTGGATTTAGTTGGGCTTTAATGCAAATCTTAATTTTTGGATTTTAAGGTTTTCTGACCATTGTCTTTGGTTAGATCATAACTTGAGCTACAGAGACACGTTTGAAGAGGAATCTGATTTAGAGTCCGAGTTTCTTTTCTCCATCTTCTTTTCTCTTGACGTTTTTGTGTGAAGTCTTAGGGAAGGGTAAATATCTTTGGATCAATCCGCTGAATAAAGGTTTCTTTTTAGGTCTTTAGGTTTGGTTTTAGTTTTTTCCAATTCTTGGTCTATGTTGTTTATCAATCAATCTTTCTCCGTTTTCTTTGAATCTGGATTGTGAATTCTTTTTGGGTTGGTGCATCATCATATAAATTAGCATTTTCATTTTGGATTAATATGTTGAACCCATGATTTAGCATATTCTGATCGGGATTGATTAGATTTTGATGTTTAATCAGTGGTCCATGATTTAGCATATTCTGATTGGGATTGATTAGATTTTGATGTTTAATCAGTGGTCCATGATTTAGCATATTCTGATTGGGATTGATTAGATTTTGATCATGGGTTCAACATATTAATCCAAAATGAAAATGCTAATTTATATGATGATGCACCAACCCAAAAAGAATTCACAATCCAGATTCAAAGAAAACGGAGAAAGATTGATTGATAAACAACATAGACCAAGAATTGGAAAAAACTAAAACCAAACCTAAAGACCTAAAAAGAAACCTTTATTCAGCGGATTGATCCAAAGATATTTACCCTTCCCTAAGACTTCACACAAAAACGTCAAGAGAAAAGAAGATGGAGAAAAGAAACTCGGACTCTAAATCAGATTCCTCTTCAAACGTGTCTCTGTAGCTCAAGTTATGATCTAACCAAAGACAATGGTCAGAAAACCTTAAAATCCAAAAATTAAGATTTGCATTAAAGCCCAACTAAATCCAAACATACAGCTAGAATACCAATATTAGGAACAATAAATACCCAACAAAATCAAGTATAAATCCATAAAAATTGTATTAAAATTGGTTGATCTGTAGGCTATCTGAATCTAATTCCTTTGCCCCAATACCTGGAGAGGTCTCAAAGCTTAGCTTATTTTTTCAGTTATTATTCCTTCAATACATCCAATGAAACATAACAAACCAAATACAAAGCCAAAAATGGTGAAAGTCCGAAGCAGGATCCACTTAGTCGTCCACGCTACAGTGTTGGACTGACCCAAGTAAATTTCCACTGGAAAATATATGGTCAACGGCCAAAAACTTATGCTACCCAAAACTCCCAAAATCTGATTGAAGTAAGGAAATTTACTAGAAATAACTCTTTATTTTTAGTAGAGAAGCTCTTAAAAGTATTTATAACTTGTATCTAAATGGGCTAAATGTGAGAGATTATTTAGTACAAATTGCATATACAAAAAAGTAAATAATCTATGCACTAATGTTTTATTAAATTGTCATTAGTCACAGTTCTTATTTATGGTAAGTTGGATAACTTCTACAAAAAATTATCTTAGAAGTCATACTTACCAAGTTACCATGATTTCTAATTGGTTGATAATGTAAAGAATTTTACTCCCGTGCATAAAAATGAAACTCAAGAAAAATATCAGAGCATCAAAACATGGAGGGTAACAATTTACCTCAAGAGCTGATGGAAACAAAGCCATTCCTCCAATGATGCTCAGTCCAGTAAGACATGCACTGTGTCCAGGCACATCATCCAGAATTTCAGTTGCCCCATAATCCATTAGGAAAAGGTGAGTGACAGACAAGATAATGGCCACTATGTATCTGCCTTCAAGCACTAGCTGTGTTGCTGCGGGAATTGTTGCAAACCAAGATGGAAATATTGGTAGCAAAGGGCTAATGAAAGCAAGGACAGTCGACACATACAAGAAATGTATTTGGTATAGCCTAAACAAAAGCCAAGTCAGGCACCCTTGGAAAAATGCAATCTCAGCAGTGGCCAAAAGGACTCCTGCAATGGCCTTATCCAACACTTCAACACATTTGACCCTAGCCGAGTTTGAAATCGGAACCATGTGCATCACTTGTTCCGTTACCCCACCTGACTCTGATGTTATGAGGTAATACAAAACCCACAAAAACACCATTGTCTGAGACACAAAATTGAAAACCTCAGCAGCACCAGACACTATGGAATTCAAAATGGAGAACACAAACTTCGCACCCCTTCCAAGCACACTTGTACCACTAGCCAAAACACGTTGACCAACATCCATCCCTTTAACCGCAAACCCTTTTGCCCTCATAGCCAAATCCTCCCTAGTGATCAAAAACTCCCTCAAAAGGGTATCAAGTTCTGCACAAATCTCCCTCCACTCCCTATTTCTAACCCTACCCTTCAAACTCGAGAGCCTTTCCATGTATGGTGAGGGCACCTTCACTGAAACCGTTGTAGGCTGAGAAGAGTTATCAGGAGCAGTTATCACAAACTGCTTAATAACCGCCACAAACTCAGTCATATTGTACTGCATTGCCAAGCCATCAATCTGATCAGACACAGTCTCATAAAATTGACCAGTATACTTATCCACCATTCCAGCAACATCATTCTCCTCCATCCACTTCTTGACCCCAATCCTCTCAGCATAAATGTTCTCTTCTACCCTCAATTTGAGGGAAATCATGGCACCTTTCCCTTCACCTCCAATCTCATAGGCAAAGAACATGACCCCACTCAAGAACCCAACAATCATGCCAACAATCAACCCAACAGCCACAAACGTCTTCAACCTTTTCAGTATGAGTTTGGTGAAAAACGCCCCAAATGCACTCCTCCTAGAGGGACGCAAAGTGGAATCCACATTCTTGGGGCTAAACACAAAGCATAATCCTAAAAGTGACAATGACCCAACACTGCCAAGCCTCTCATAAACAACAACAAAGACCCCAAAGGAGAAAAGTAAACGAAGCATGGTGGAAAAGCCTTTAGTTTTGTTTTGATTGCGGGGCTTTGGTTTCCGGAGAAGGATTGCGAAAGAGGCTTGACGAATCTGAACGGTGGTGGCGATGAAAACGGTGAAAAGCGCGAGAGGGAGGGCGAGGAGGGTGTGAGTGAGGCCTAGTTGGAGAGGGTAAGACCAAAAGGAAACGGTGGTTTGGTGAATGAGTCTGAGAGGGATGGAACAGAGAACGGCCCATTGGAGGGGTCTCAGGTATTGTTGGAGGAGTTTGTAGAGAGAGAAGAGGGTCAGGATCACGAAGGCCAGCCCTGCGTGGGCCATGGCTATGCAGAGGGCCAGACGCTCGTCGGAGTGGAGTTTCCGGTCGCTGTTCGCCGGAGCCGTCGTGGGTTGTCTGGCGGATGCGGATCGGAACATGTCGTGCCATGGTGGGGTGGCGGTGCCAGAGTTTGAGTTTGAGTTTGAGTTTGGCTTAGAGTATGGGACAATGTCCATCATGAGACAGACATAACAGAAACTCAAATATGTTAATGTTAATGTTAATGATGTTTGTTGAATTGTTGTGTTGTGTTGTGTCAGGAATGCACGAATGGATAATATTAATAACAGAAAGAGAGGTATCGTTTGATTTGATTTCCAAGTTTGAGGCAAAAAAGTGCACACTGCAGCTTTTGAAACTGACAAGGGAATCATGCACGAAGTAAAAAGATTGAGAAAAGGTAATGGTATTTGGTACTTGGCTTGGTGTTCCATTGCATTCTTCACGTTGCGCCTAAGTCATCCCAATCTTCATCTTTGATCATAACCAAATTATGACTTTTCTTAAGGCATTAATTAAGTAATAGTCATTACCTTTTATTTTATATCTTTAATCCTTCATTACTCTACTCACAAGCAATGTAATTGTACTGGAATCATATTACACATCAGGTACACAGTTTTGAGTTATGCACCGAAAATAAAAATAGTGTATAATGTAATGCTATTGCAAAATGTACCTCCTTTATTTTGTAACAGAATAATTAATATATAAATTTGAATAAATATTATTAAGTGTTTGTATTATGTGATGTTTTTTTAATTATACATGATAATGTACTATGTTAATTTATATAACTTCAAAACTTATACAAAAAAATCTTTTATTAGAAATGAATGATAAAAATTATATTTTAATTTTTTTTAACAAAATGCAATGTTACTAAATATGATATTGTGATTTATCTAGTAAACAAAATAATGAAATTATCTAACATACCTTAACATAATCCATAAAATATTTGAGATTATCTAACATATTTTATAAAATATTTGATATATTTATGAAAGTTATTTTTATAAGGTTATTACACAAGCATATTCTACAATGATGAGATATTGTCCGCTTTGTGCTAAGCTCTCACGGTTTTGTTTTTGGTCATCACCCAAAAGGTCTCTTTCATTGAAGTATGTTTGTATTATATAAGTTGTTATTTATTGTCTTATTTTATCGATGTGGGACTTGTTTGTATCCCAACAATCCTCTTTTCAAACAAAGGACCTAGTCTTTCACGCAACGGGATCTGTCTTTCTATATCACATTATATGTTATGGTATGTTATGAGGGGTTATAAGGGTTGTTACCGCATCTAACCAAGCGACTCTGGTTCATATATCACATTATATGTTATGGTATGTTATGAGGGGTTATAAGAGTTGTTACCGTATCTAACCAAGCGGCTCTGATACCAGAGTTGAAATTATTTTATGGTATTTGTCTGAGAGAATATTTTATGAGAGTTATTTTTATAAGGTTATTACACAAGCATACTCCACAATGATGAGATATTGTCCGCTTTAGGCCTAAGAGCATCTCCAATGGAATGAGTTGCTTCATGCATTGAAAAATGAAAAAAGTGGTCCATAATGTGTCATGTCAATATTAAGCAATTCAAATACAAATTTACTCCAATAATAAGAAACTTTAAGAAATTCAACTTTTAGAATTTTTTTCTAATCATTTATGAACCAAATTTAAATTTTTATTAAAAAGGATAATTGCACTATAATGAAAGAAAATAAATTACGAGAAAAAATACACAATAAGTAGATATTAAAAATAAAACAAAGCAATAGTAAATACATAAACATTATACGAAATTAATTTTCATCATTATTTCCAAAACGTTCTAAGTTACGAGAAACCGGGGCTTGAGTTGCTTCATGGGAAGCATGGAGTTGCTCTAAGCCCTCCGGTTTTGCTTTTGGTCATCACCCAAAAGGCATCTCTCATTGAAGTAAGTTGTTATTTCTTATCTTATTTTATTGATATGGGACTTGTTTGTATCTCAACAAAAGTAAAATCTCACAAATGAGGAGGCTGTGAGGTATGAGCATATGAAACTTGCACAGGAAGAAAGTTACCAAATGAAAAACTGTGTTTTAATTAAGGTAATTGGATTATTTCAAATTATTAAAACTAGTGTATGTTTTCAATTTTTTCCCCTTGGCCATACCTTGTGCATGTTTTATTCCTTGGTATTTTTAAAATTCTTTTTATTGTTGACTTATATATCTATAATAAAGATACATTTATTAAGGATTTAAAATTAAAAATGTTATTTTATATTTTAATTAATTATTTAAAATATAATATTTTTATGGAACATCTATTTCTTTATATTGTCCATATAGTCTATTTTTTTCATATAAATAATATTTGTAATTGGATGACACTTTATATTTGTTGGGATACAAATAAGTCTCGCGATAAAATAAGATATGAAATAACAACTTATATAGTACAAACATACTTCAATGATTGAGAGACTTTTGGATGATGACCAAAAATAAAATCGTGAAGGCTAAGGTCTAAAGCGGACAATATCTCATCATTGTAGAGTATGCTTATATTTGTTGGGATACAAATAAGTCTCGCGATAAAATAAGATATGAAATAACAACTTATATAGTACAAACATACTTCAATGATTGAGAGGCTTTTGGATGATGACCAAAAATAAAATCGTGAAGGCTAAGGTCTAAAGCGGACAATATCTCATCATTGTAGAGTATGCTTGTAATAAACTTATAAAAAATGACCCTCATAAAATATCCCTCGAACAAATACCATAAAATAACCTCAACAATATTGTGGGTATATGGTCTATTTTCTTGTATCATTGCATATAATGAAAAAATCAAGTATATTAATTTCAGTTGTAGATACTAGATTGAAGCATTAAAGCGTAAAATACATTACTCAGTTATGAAGTAAATTTCTTTAATATGATTGGTACTTGGTAGAGCTTGAATACAATATTTCTTTTAACTTGCATTGTTTTTGACTTTTTTCCTGCAACTGTTTAATGATCCTGACCAGACGACTAGACACTATTTCTCAAATGATGTTGTTTAGTTAGCAACAGCAGAGAAGAGATGTTGAAGAACAAGTTTCTTCCATCAGAAACTAATTGCAAACGTCAATTCTTCTACGGAGACAGAAATAAGCCAAGACACGGAAGACCAGTGCCATGGCTATGAGAACCCATGCTTCAGTTAAGCCTCCTTTCAAGTTTACAGTGTCAAATGCTGGTGAACTCTGTAGTGTCCTGCACCCTCCTTCGCTTTCACACTCATATGGTTGGTCTCCTGAATACTGCACTTTCAGAAGAAGTCTGAACCCATAGTACACGAACGAACAATACTTCAACCATTGCATCACCTTCGGTACGTGCTGCAACATAATCAAGGATTCTGTGATGGAAGGCTTTTGAATAAAAAACGAGTGCAACTCTTACCAAATCATCATGCTCCATACATGAGCACCACACTTCCAAAACAAACAAGTCAATGTGCTCGGACCTCACTCAAGTACACTAAAGACATTATAAATATCAAAACAGGCAATATCTCAGACATAACGATGACTTTAGCGATACTAGCAGATTTGAGGTCAAAACACAATGGTTTATCAATTTGTGAGAAATTGATAATTAACACTTTAGCAAACTCCTTTTTTAGTTCTGTCCAAGTTCATGTTTTTACTAACAATGTTGGCAATTCCTTGTGCATAGCATACCTGGACATAGTAGCCACCTGTGAGAAGGAATAGCATCAGTATCAAAGAAGCAACCATTCCTGCT